GTGTTTGTTTACAGTCAACCCGCGTAGTAAGGATGGGACATTTTCCTAAAGGTACCCTTGCATCCTCGCCTCCTCGGGCCATCCTTAGCCACTGTCGCTGGCCGCGCCCCGCTCGAAAAGCTTCGAAACGACCTTCCAAGGCCATTGCATTCTTATAGTGCATCCTTATGATACGGGTCGACTGTATGCAGTTGCCCGTTCTTATCAGGATAAGGACGGCAAGGGCAAGGGCAAGGACAAAGAGAAGAAGGGGAAGGGGAAGGGGAAGGGACCCTTCGCAGACCACTACTACGTGGACGGCAAGATCTACAACTTCGCTGAGTGGAAGCTCATTCATCCCGGCGGCGACCTTTTCTTCGCCCCCGCGAGTCAGCGTGACATCTCTGCGGCGGTCCACGCGTACCACGAAAATCCAGAGAGGCTCAAGCCAATCTTGGACAAGTACGAGGTGAAGCTCCCAGAGGGCAAGGAGCCGCGGGACATCTTGGTGAAGGATTTGGGTGTTCCGACCTTCATTCTCCCTCCAGACTTCGACGCCGTGAAACACGTGCCTATCTACGACTGGGAGGGCAAGGGCTTCATGAAGTCGCTGAGGAAGAAGATCGGCACCCCAGACATGAAGAAGCGGATCCGGCGAGCGGACTTTTGGTTCGATGTCGTCGGGGCAGCCCTCTTCACCTTGCACGTGCTGATCTCGTTCCCGGTGCTCGCGTACGGCATGCTGCCTTGCTGGCTTTGGGTCTTCTTGCAGATCGTCCTCCGCCAGGCATGCCCACCGCCGCTGGATCGCCCAGTGCGCACGGGGCCCAGGATAATTCAAACCGACCCTGGCAAGCCGAAGGAGGGGGAGGTTACTTGATTTCCCAGGGTGGCTTGATTTCCAGCGGCCAAGTTTCGTTCAGTATGACTATGCTTTTTGTTGGTCGCTGTCGTGGGCATCGAGGGGGGTTGGGGGGGGGTCGTGTGCGTAAAAAAATCCGTCCGATCAATTAGTAGAATTGGCACCTTTTTTGACAAGTTCCCGCCTGCCCCGCGTCTGCTTGATCGTTCCTGGTCCCACCCGGGCGCTCCAGAGACGGCGAGCGGCGAGGCCGTTGCAGCACTCGGGCATTACCATTGCCACCGCACGAAGAATGGCATTCTCGATTGGGGCGACGCCTTGTTCGACATTCAGTACATCGGTGCGAGCGTGATCCTCACAGATGGCCACGTCATGCTGCATCACCTGTACACTGAGACGCCCGCCGACGTCAAGCGCACAGTGTTCAACTTTATGCTGACGCTCCCACGCTTGTGGCGACTTCCACTGTTCACTCTCCAGAAGTTCGGCGAGTTCTTCAGCGGCCACTTGTTCCGCATCGGCCTGATGCTGCCTTGCTACGAGGATGCCGAGAAATGTATCCAGAAGGAGCTTCAGATCAGGTTCGCCCGGTTCTACATGCTCTTCGAGCTCTACTATTGCTACCGCACTGGCTACCTGCACTGGTGGGTCGTGCAATTCTGTTTGTGCATATGGTGCAGCATGTTTCAGATAGTGGCCTCTCACGATTTTGAGGTTGTCAGAGAGCAGGACGAACACCGCGGCATGGACTGGGGCATCCATCAGGTGACGCACTCCCTGGACACGTACATCACCGGCATCCGATGGGTGGACATCTGGCTGTCTGCAGGCCTGAGTTGCCACAGGGTGCATCACGTGCTCCCATACCAGAGGTCTGGGTTCGCGAACATAGTGTGCGAGGACGCGGTCAAGGACCGAGTGAATCTAATCTTCCAGGTCGGAGTGTTTAGGGTGGGGGGGGGGGTCCCACGAGATTGCGGCCGTTCCGGCCTCTGCCTGGGCCCCGAATTCATGCGTGGGAGTTCTTCAGATATTTGTCGCGAGGTTAAGCTCGAGCCCAGCCCTCCCCGTGCTTGAGACGCGCATTCGCACCAGAGGAGACTTGTAAGGAGTTCGACGTCGAGTGGATGCCCACCAGGAACCGAAGACGAAACTTGTCATGAGCTCTCGGATGTCCACGCGGATCTCTTGGATCGGCGTTGGGCCCCCACTCCCTGGCGTGCGGGTGGTGCGCCGGAAGAGCCAAGCGCCGATCCAGGAAGTCCGTGCGGACTTCCGAAAGTCTACAGTGTCAGAGAAGGGCGAGTTATAGTAACACCGGTTTTATGGGTTATGGAAGAGGCTCAATTGGAGGATTCGGATTTTCGGATAACCAAGCGGGCATAGACAACGTCATGTCGTTTTTTTGTGAGACGAAGAACAGGAGGGAGGAGAAAGAGGAGGAGGAGGAGGAGGAAGAGAGGAGGAGGAGGAGGGGGAAGGAGGAGAAGGAGGAGGAGGAGAAAGAGGGGGAGGAGGAGGTCGCAACTTTCTATTTCCTGTCTGCGGCCGCGGGCACGATGCACAACGCTGCCTCGCGCCCGCGGCTGCCGCCGATCCTGCTCTTCGTTCGCTGATTTGGTGAATCATGGATGTACTTTTGTACGCACCGTCATACTC